CACTAAGCTGGTTGTGATTGAGATTTATGTGCTTCAATGTGGAAATTGTATAAAACCATGATAGAAGTGTTCCACTGAGTAAATTAAAAGATAAGTCTAGCAAGTTTAAATTAGGAAAGATAGATACCTCATTAGGAATGGGACCCCCGAGTTGATTGTGAGAAATATCTAAGATTAATTCAAGTTGTCTTAAATTTGTGAGTGATGGTGGAATTTTTTCCTCTAAAAAAGTTAAATGACATGCAAAAATTATGGAGTTAAGAGAGGGGAAAAATATTTTCTGGGATTGTTCCTAACAATCCACAACCATTGAGACTAAGAGTCCTTAAAGATGAGGATAGATTCATGAAGACATAATGATTCCATCAAGAAAGAGTTGTCTCACCTCTGTTAAGTTCTCAACAAGTCCTTCTAGAGTATGTTTGTCAAACTTTAGCAAATCATTCAAAGAGAGATCAAGAGTATTTTTAATTCCTCTCTTGTCATATTTATTATTTTACTTTGATAAATTCTATTTGGGATGTGTATTTTTTCATGTCATATAATATATATACATATATATGTATGTATGTATATATAGATATTTACTTTTGATCCATGAAAATTGGCAAGATTGTAATTTTGAACTTCCTATTTGCGTTTAGGGCTTAAAATCTTAGGTCATTGGATTCTATTTTCCAAGCTCCATTTGCCAATTCATATGAAGGAAATTCGTTGTTGTGCATTTTTATCCTACATTTTCAATTACGTAATGGGATTGAGATTGCAGAAAATGATTCCATGTATGCTAAAATTTGCACAACAATGACTGGCCACTTGATAAATGATTTAATAGCAAAATGAATAAGAGTCTCTAATTGACTAATCAAACGGATAAAATAAATTGCTGGGTTGTTTGCATACATGGATGGTTGATTGGAACAGTCTCTCTAAATTGGTTTATCCATATGGCAAATAAGAACTGGATTATCCATCTTGTTGAAACAATAAAGACCGAACCAATTGATGAAATGATTATCAGTTCTTGAAATTCATCACAAGAGAATATACTCTTTGATGTAATTGTTTAAATCTTTAATACAATTAAACAGAGAAAGAACAAGAACATTTGTCAATTTTAATTTTATGGGTCTCGACTAAAAGAGAAAGAAAGTCATATTCAGTAAGTGGAAAATATATATATGTGCATTACATACTTTGCCTTGTCAATGTTAATATGGACCACACCAAGCTGGAAATTTGTAGTATTGACTAGGCTAGTAGGAAAAATGAGAATCAGCTGGAAGACCTTAACGCTGGAGCTAACTTCTTTGAACCGTCAAGCGAGCTATCTTAAAGCAAATAGGGTAACCAAATGAACAAGAGTCTCTGCATGATGAATCAGTTCGATACCATCATTTGTAAATAATGTGAAGTAAAAGTCGAAATCATCATATCAAGACTTTTCTCCTGATTCATTAATTAGATTATCTAGCTCATTAAGGTCATTGATTTGTTTTTTAGAGAAAATACGAGATGATCAAAGAGAGAAAGAGGACATGTTAAAGGGAAAAATCAAACTAATCTTGAAGAAAAAGGTGAGGCGGTTCCTGTAAGAGGAAAATATGGTCGAATGATCCAATCATTCCATTACATTATTTGTCTCATTAATGCTAATACTCCACATCGTGCACTCACTGTAACTGATAGGTTCCTTTAACATGCAAGTGATGAGCGAGTCAAAAAAGATTGATCCCAAATTGTCATAATCTGCTTCTAAGTAGGATATGCACAACTGATGGCCAAACTAAGGTACTGGTTACTGTGAAATGGAGAACTTGACCCTCTAATTTCTTTGCTCTGGCTGTTTTCCTGTTCCAAAACGAGAGTTCAAACTAATAATTGCTGTCCTACTTAATAGAATGAATGGCTATATTTAATCTCACCATCCTGTTTAATTGTGATGAATAAATAGTGCTGGTAATAATTTGATAACAGATAAGCATAGCACCTGATGCTGCAAGATTGCAGGTTATTCTAAACCAATTGAAAGAACTCTTTGATTCTTACAAGTCGCTATCAGGTCATAGCAGACTGAAATATTGAAAACAAATCCGAAAGGTTTGATATAGTTGATGGCAGGCTCTGAATAGCTTAATAATAGCAGACTGAAAGAAGAGAAAAAGAAAATATATTATTATTGTTTATTGAAGCCAAAATAACTACTAGGCTTCTCTTGTACAAAACATCCCCAATGAGTAACACATTTTTTTCTCGATTAAAAATGGAAGACATGATTTTCTTCATCATCTAATTCAGTTGAGCTGCTCCATACTTGAATTTGATCTTACAGTATACTCTGCTACAAGCTGTGCGAAAGATGAAGACTTGTTTTCTAACAATCTAGTGGGAGAATCATATTCCTCAACAAGTCCTGCAACAGTTAGAAAAAGGTTTAAATGAAATGAACTTGAAAGAATCCTACAAGCGAACTGTAAATTACACAACTGTACTAACCGTGACTTAGAAGCAGAACCATATCACTATCAAGAACAGAAGTTATCCGGTGTGCAATTGTTATGACCGTACAGTCAGAAAAGTGCTCCCTTAAGGTTGTCTGAATCAGATTATCGGTAGCTGTATCAACTGATGCCGTAGCTTCGTCAAGCACTAGGATCTTACTTTTCTTCAGCAGCACACGCCCGAGACACACCAGCTGCCTCTGGCCCATGCTCCAATTCTCTCCATTCTCCGTAACTGCAGAAGCAGTGTTATAATACTTTAAAATTTCTTTAAATAGTTGAATTTAGTAGTAGGTTTTATACAACTTGGATGACCTCCAACTTTTATGTTATATGATAGAAGATCAGACCTGAAGAATCCAGCCTGCCTTCCTTCTTTCTAACTCCATCCCCAAGTTGGCACTTATCCAATGCCTTTGAAAATCAAAACATACATCAATACATATCAGACTTCAAATATCAATCATAAAGACTGCATTTTATTAGAAAAGAACTGGTACAGACTAGAAATGCTTTCGCTCATAATCAGAAGGAAATGAACCCACCTCCCAAATCTGTTCATCTGTGTACTCTTCAAGAGGATCCAAATTACTGCGAATAGTCCCTTCAAACATAGTAGGGTCCTGAGGGATGATGCTGAGTCTTGACCGCAAATCATGCAGTCCAATTGATGAGATATTGACACCATCAATTACAATCTGACCTGCTGCAGGTTCCACTATGCGGAAAAGTGTTTGTATGAGAGTTGTTTTACCACTCCCTGTTCTCCCTACAATGCCAGTTTTCAACCCTCCCGGAAATGTGCAGGTCATACCTCGCAAGACGAGTGGCATGTGTGGAGCATACCGCACCTACATCAAACATCATCATTTATTTCAAAAACACATAACAACTTAGAGTCATAAACAGCACATAACTGCATTACCTGCAGATCATGAATATTAACTTCTCCATGAGATGGCCAAGAATGGTCCGGGCGATTAGTTTCTATCACAAGGGCAGGCTCACTCAGAATACTACTGTACTGAAGCAGTCTCTCAACAGATATAATTTTATTCTCCATATTGCAAATATTCCATACTACCCAAGCTTGCAACATATTTAGATTGAGTCCATACGTAACAGCTAAACCAGCAATGGCTAAACAAAAGAAAATACTTTCAGTCATTCTCCTCTAACATCTGTTATCTACAATGAAATTGTAGTCATTAAAGATGCCAATCTGAAATCAATTACCTGGGTCAATAACTCCCTCTGGTATGGAGATCAAAAAGAACAAAGAGAAGGCAAAAGTAATAGAAGACAACATGTCCATGCGGAAGCACAGCCATTCCATTGCAGCAGCAGCATGAAATTTTGGACGAGAATACCCATCAATTAGTATCATGTTTGTCTCTTGGAATCTTGATTCTTGATCAAAGCTCCTGATAGTTGTTGCTCCTAAAATTGTTTCAGCAAAATGCTGTATCACTGGAGCTTTGCAAACTCCAACCAACCGTGCAAGTTCTCGTGCAGAAGATATATAATATTGCTGCAAGATAACAAGTTTATGAGAATTCCTGTATCCAAGTATTCTGCAAGATGGAATGCTTTTTCAAATGACTTTGAGATTTACACTAAATAGCTTCATGGTTGCAAGTTTATAAGGTTACGCATTCTATAGCCACAATTTGACAGACAGCATACTATATGAGGTGACAAGAGTTACCTGGTACCAAATGCAGGCAGCAATCACAGGGATAAAAATGATAAAGATCTGCCAAGCAACCTGAGACATGACTGCGATGATTCCAAGGAGCTGGATAACTGAAAAGGCGAATGAACCAACTTGATATGGAATGTTCAAATCCACTGCACTTTGATCTGTTGAAGCCTAAAAGAGGCAGGACAATAACAGAATCCTTAAAAAGCAAGGAAGGAATGCTCCCCAAAAAAATTAAAATGGAATATTTAAAATCCATACAGGAAAACATTAGATACTAACTCTGTTTAGTATTCTTCCACTTGGTGTGGAATCAAAGAAAGACATAGGGGCACGGAAAATGCAAAAATGCATCTTTTGAAAGAGAAGAGTGGCTGTTTTGTATCCAGCTGTACGAAGAAGCATGGCTCTGGCAAGAACAGAAAAGGCACTAGCAATGGCCAAAGCTAAATAGACAATTATTAGTGTAAAGCTCCCAACAGGAGGTTTGACATCCGCAGACACAGGAGACGCCCAGGCCATCCAATAATTGCTACCAATTTGAAATATCTGAAAGACAATCTGCGCAAGCAATATTAGAGGCACAAGAGCTCCTCCATATGCTGTTGTGATATACTTCCAGTAGACTGAAAACCCAACTTCTCCTTTTTCTCGCTCTTCTTCTTGAACAAGCTGTCCTTTTGGCCCGACATCATCTACTTTACCAATCTCATTACCTTGGTTATCTTCTTTCTGCACTTTCCCATTAGCACATCTCGTGGTACCATCTCCCTCACTGATATTTTTTTCAGAAACAGATCCTGCATCAACACTATCAAGGACTGACAAAGCTTTCTTATGTGCACCCACAAGTTCCATAAAGTCAGTTCCCGAATTGAGAATGTCATTATACTTTCCAGCTTGTGTAATCCTGCCATCTTTCATGACCTAACAAAAATGTACAAGTTTGAATCCAGTAATTATGTTATTGCTTACACTCCAAGGTATAGGATTAAAATCACTGAAAATGTAAATAGCTTTACCAAGATTAGATCAGCAGCTGGTAAAAACTCAACTTG